AAGCACTGCAACTAGATCATTTCTTGGCATAAGCCTGAGAAATAACCTGCTCAATCACAGGATGGCCTTAGGATCATGTTTATTAGTATATCCAGCTGGATACTTTCAATATGGTTATTACTACTAAGTAACTGAGAATCTATCTGAATAATAACAGATAAACTGGGGGAAGCAACAGGCTCGGTTTGTTCTTTCCTATACAGTATTTACAAGTTCTTTTATTAAAGGCTTTCGTGGTAGATAATATTATATCAGAATAAGTATAGTAGATTACTCTAGAAAAAGCAACAAAGCCACCGGATCGCAGCTTCTAATGAATATCAGTTCTAAATGTATTTTAGAATTACTAAGGATTCAGATACGTAGGACTAGGGATGCTTACTTGCTTTATTCAATCTCAAGCAGCTGGCTGGCTGGAACCACGGGACCTCGTCTACGTAAGTTTCCCGACAACACTCTGCCCCTTAGGTTGCGCATGTTCTGATGAAATTAAGTTGCCATTAGGTTTTGATGCTTGAGATTATAATGGTTATTATAAGTCGATGCTGTTGTTATTGTCGTGTGTTACTCTACAGTCTTGATTAACTTTAAAGAGAAACACACTCTATATCAGAGATCATTCTCTTTTTATTATCTGATTAATATACATCACAAGACCACCTCTCAATATGGAAGATAGTCATAGCATTGATAAAAAATTATTAGTCAACTCATGTGGAATCTAACGTACAGCTAAAAATTATTTAAAGTAGGCGTACCATTGCTGCTTTCTTTTAGATATTATTAGGATCTTCAGTTATAAAAAAGCTTCTATCAACAGAATTCACAAAACAATTAAATATATGTAAACTATCTATAAAAAGTAATAGGATATAATCTTGTTTTAGTAAATATATCTCTAACCTGAAACAGTTTTCTTATAATAAAATATTAATAATATTCTGGAATTATTATACAGGATATCGCACAAATTAGAGTAGAGATATTAAACAAGGATTTGTAAATAATCAGTACTGTAAGACCGCTATTTTATATATTAAACACAAATTTAAAGAACTTGCATGTATACCGTGCCAGTAATTATTTTAATATAATCTTAATATTAGAGCTTCCCATACTCTCCATGTGTTTACTATTTATCGAACTATCAGCTTCTGTAATATTAATTGAGCTTCTCAGTTACTCTAAATATGAGCTTTAAGTTGTGATTATCCAATCTATATATTTTATCATAGTTAATCCAGATCTATGTTTGAAATTGCGCGTGATAGTGTATAAAATTTCAGGCCTCTTATTTATATCTGGCGTATTTAAAGTAGATATTAACTCAAAATTCACTGTCATCAAGCTATCTGTCAGTCCTGGATAGCCAAAGTACTGGCCCAGTCCGAATGTCAAGACCACCATAAGTAAAACTAATTCCAGTTATATATCAATATATATTGTTATATAGCTAGCCACTACAGACTGTGCTATTTCCCAAGCCTCTTTAATATTGAGAAGAGCAGACTAACTAGTTGTATATCCATAAAGGAGCTCGCTTGACAGTACATCTACAAGTTTATTAAAAGAGATGTGTATTTGGAGTATGAAATTGTGGTTTATATAGATAAAGAAATTATTAATATCTACATTATTCTTAGGATTAATCAGCGGGGATAGAGGAATAATGTATTATGATTCTTTCTTTTTCATTGAGCCAGAAGTGCTGCTAACACTGTTAATTATTGGTGTTATAAAGGTTGTAAAACATGCGGGTACGCTCCGGCGTGGTGGCACGTGTAGTTGTGGTCTGCTTAGCTTAATTAGAGGGAATAACACAGAGGATTACTAAGGTAGGGAATTGTTAAAGTGATTAAAAGAGCATTACTCAAAACCTTTAGTAGGTAAGGTTCAGATCACTGCCCCATGTAAATAAGATGATCCAGTATAGTTAACACCGGCTGGAAAGTAGAAGAAATATCTAGACAAAGTTTATTGATTTAGTAACTGGCCTCCAGTCCCTGAGCCACTACCATGATTACTTAATGATAGGAACAACACTGCAGGATAATGATACTATTTAAGCCGTGTTTTATGTCCGGAAGATACTGCAACTCCTGAGTATGGTTCTACAGCCTGATTAAATATCTTAAGATTGTGTTCAGTGCTTGAGACTATAGCAGGATTCGCACAAACTTTAGGAAGCAAAATCCATTCAGCAGGCTGTTGCTATAGACACTATTTAGACTGCGAATACTGAGACCTAGATATCCCTTCTGATAGGCATGTAGGCATGGAGCTTATTTATAAATCAGTCTTCTCCATTCCGCCTGAGAAGCTTCCAAACCGCGCCGCACCTGGTAGATTCCGTGCTGGCAGGCCTGTAAATGGTGAGCCTGGCTGGAAAATGTCTGGTGGCGGATTAAGGCGGTGCTGTTTCATCTCTGTTAGTATTCTGCTACCCTCTACAGCCCGCTTGCACTTCTTTTCAGGAATCAGGCCCGGTACCAGAGCTTGTAAGGCAAGGTCCTCTTTGGCGGATACTCCATCATGATTGTTCTTGATATTAGAAAGTAGAGTGTAATTTATATTGGTATCGCCAAGATAATAGTCGAAAAAGTCATTAATATATATTTTATGCATCTATCTCTAGCGTTCTGTAAGTCTTACAGCCATATATGATTGTAAGTAGATCAGCATTGGCAATAAATCTTGAGATGATAAGCATACTTAGTAGTCTTTTTATTACATAGCGTGTCAGAAAGCCGTACTATCTCTAGTTTAATTACTATTCTTCTCCATAATCTTATTTCTTTACTCTTAAGCTTTTTATACTGTTTCCATACTGAAAATATAATAAAGCTTTGGTCATTCCTATCTGGCCCCTATCTGAATTTGTTGCGGAGCTGTGATATATTAACAGTTAGAGAGATACTCGGATTGCAGTAAAGAATGAATTAAATATAAACATTATTGATAATATTGCCAGTTAGAGCGTGAGATAGTAAGACTTATTATTTTATCTGTTTTATCAACTCCTGTAGGATCCGCGAGCGGATAGGATCATATATTAGAAAGGTATTTAAGAGTATAAGACACATCAATGCTGGCAGAGAAATCACTGATTTTAGATTATTTAATAATGTTTAGAGCCCCCATTCAGACTCTAAAGCCAGTGAATCTTCTGTATAGATAGCTATGGACAAGGACTGTGATAGATTAGTTCAGTATCTTACATTGATTGATAACACTCTTAAAAAGAGGATTTATTTTTTGAAAGAGATACACCAAACAGCTCGGGTCGTAAGAAGAGTCTCTGAGGCATATACACGACTGATAGAATAAAATGAGGCAATAGCTTGTGTAGAACACGCAATACTAGTATTCGAATATCTGACAACTGACTGGAGAATGGTGAAGAAGTTTCACTCTCCCGCAGCCAGGCAAAGTTATGTGTAGTTTAGACGAGGCTAAGCCCTTTGTTAGGGCTTATTCCGCTTCAGGAGAAAAACCAGCAACTAGTTAGACAAATCCTGTTGTAATAGGCTCAGCTTCACCCACTACGTTACATAAACTAGATAACAGTCTTCCATGTAGGCTAAGCTACCACTATCCAAACCATATCAGTCCTGCGGTTTCTTGATAATCTTATATGTGGAAAGTATAAGAGCAGGACTATCTATAAGAACTGATTCTGTCCTGTGCTTCCATTTCCTGAAGTTATAAAACACTGCTTTGCTGAGATATGCTCCTGCGTAGTAGAATATTAATTAAATAACATGATCATTGATCCAGCCATGGCCTCAATTTATCCTATACTGAACAATATATTTAAATACCCAAGCCTCTCAGTCTCAGTAACCAACATTGTAAAGACGTAGTAGAAATATGCAGGAACTTGTTACTATGGATAAGGAATGAAGCATGCTAGAGAGAATAAAATCTTATTAATTAGGACAACAGGCTTACTAGGGGAAAAAAGAATCTTATACTGACAGTATATGATAAATATTATAACAAGTGCAGATTATCAGTACTCTAAGAAGCAGTGCCAGAGCTATGCCTGCTAGTAGGTTTAACAGTATAACCAATATTATGAAGTTATTTATCTTCTTGCTTTAATTAGCTCATAATAAAGTTATATATCAAATGCTATTATGTCTAATCCTAATTAAATGGGCTATAGTTAGTTGCAGCTTTAAGCATGATTACGGCCTACCCGCTGCAGTATAGATATATAATTGGTATATACTAACCATACTTCTGCATCTAGAAAATCTATATATATTAAGATCATGAGATTTCCTATAAACTGCTAACTGCTTACCACAACTTTGAAGATCACTAACCCATATATTCACTTATTGACTTAGAGAAGCCTAATGTATGTTATTTATTAAGGTTTCTGCGCTCTAATAGCGCAATATATCAGCCAGATATAGCAAGGATTATTAATTATTCTGGATCATACTTATTTATAAATACAAGAACATCATCCGGAATACTAGGATATTAAAATAAAAGAAGAAATAATCTATATAATTCTTTCTTTACTTTATAAAAGTATTAGAAAGATTTATTAAAGTATTATATAAGTATATATATAATACTTACTTTACATGCAGCTAGACATAAAAAAGGCACTTATAGTATTAGAATAATGTATCTAATATATGTATACATTGTCCTAATTATACGGTTAATAATATAATCTACTTTTTTAGTGTAAATTAAGTTCTCTTGATAACAACCATCATCTGGTTCCAGCCAATGAAATTGAAGAGCTTGTAACTTTTGATATGTACCCAAAATCAGGCCTAGAATATCTTTGCTGAACTTATAATAATAGACTAAGATTATCAGGGCTTAGTTTCACCTTCTGAATTTGTTGGTGTAATATAATTAAGTCTATACTTCAGGTCAGGTGTAATGTCCCGCTCGAACCAGTCGCGAAGATCAGACATAATTCTCATCTGAAATCCAGGGCTGAGTGACTATTTAAGAAAACCCTGGCCTTAATGTGTGTCAGTAACTGAGTACTTACAGATAACAGCTTTCCTAAAACAGCAAGACAGTCCCTATAATAGACAGACACCAATCAAGATTATAGTACTATTTACTATAAATAAGTATGAAGGAATAATTCTTGTTTTTCCAGCTAATAATCTACTATTTATCGGGGCAAGCGTTCTACGAATCAAGTGGTTGCACTTCTTTAGTCACGGCTGTTACTGTGGCACTAAGTTTTTCTCTTATCATTTCCAAGCACTCTTAGCACCTTCAATGCCCACATGAACTACAGCAGATAATTGTATCTCGTTGCCAAGCTTATTACTTTATGTACCATAGTCTAAACTTCTAACTATTGCTCTAGAATATCCCTATATTGCGAAAGTGGACAAGTGGACAAGCGGACAAGTAGACAAGCGGACAAGTGGACAAGCGGACAAGTGGACAAGCGGACAAGTGGACAAGCGGACAAGCGGACAAGTGGACAAGCGGACAAGCGGACAAGCGGACAAGTGGACAAGCGGACAAGTGGACAAGCAGACAAGTGGACAGGTGAGCAGGTGGACAAGTGAACAAGTAGACAAGTGGACAAGTGGACAGGTGGACAAGCAAACAAGTGGATAAGTGGACAAGTGGACAAGTGGACAAGTGGACAAGTGGACAAGTGGGTAAGTGGACAAGTGGACAAGTGGGTAAGTGGGTAAGTGGGTAAGTGGGTAAGTGGGTAAGTGGGTAAGTGGGTAAGTGGGTAAGTGGACAATTACTTTAGATAGCTGCCTCTACTTAGCTGATCCCTGAGAACTCCTTCGTTGCTAGCACCAAAATAAGACATTAACATAGTTACTCACCTGTTCTTGGGAAATTTTTTGTTACTAAAGTTATATGCATCGCTTCGAAGAATACTGACCTTTTTATGCTTCTAGCTTTCTGTTGACCTTGCGCCATGCTCGCGATCCATTACATCCTGACACAATTCATTGGCTCATATGGTTCATGGCCAGAAATGGGCTATGTATGTATTACTAAACTATTATTAATGCTCTGTAATTCGAAATTGATACCTCCCTTTCTTAACTTGCTATATTGGGAATAACATACACCTGCTAGCCAGGAATCCGGCTTTCTTCTTATCAATGATTGACTTTTCTGACGCAACCCAGTATGAAATTATAACCCGGAGCTCATCATGTCTGAAGCCAACATCACTTCCAGATAGCTCTAACCGTGTCTCTGCAGAGATCTGTTCTTGGTGGCTGCATAATCATTACTAAAAAGAGACTTTAAAAAGTCAGGATCTGTAGTACTTCTTATCAAGCTATTATCTGTTATCTGAAGATTCTTGGAATATTGGCCTCCAGAGACAAAAGATCAAGATACTTATAGTGATTGTTATATTAGTTATAAATAATATATAAGACTAAAAATATAAACTTTCAGCATTTCAAGAGATAACTACACAATTCAGGCAGTCTTCAACGTTAGGCTGCTCAGTTGCTTATATTTAGCACAGTAGGTATCAGTAGAAGTACAGGTTATAAAAGCCAAGCTTTATTAGTAGGTGCAAAATCAATGAAATGTCGCACGGATGTCGTCAAACTACAAATATTTATAGAATGAAAAATACCTGTCAGTTTATTAATATAACAGCCTATAGAGTGAGTGGATTCCCAGGAAATAGGCCTAATCTTTCAAAGCCAAACTGCATTGAGATATCTGAAATTAGAAGAGATAAAATATATAATAAGTCATATATACAGTATATTTCCTCTTCAGATAAAAGAATAAGCCATCAGTACGAGAATCAAAATATCTATTAAAAAAACATATATTAATATAATAAGAAAATACAAGTTATAAGCTATATTATATCTCTCATCTCTGCATCTACACGCTGTATAGGCCAGCAAGAAGTCAGAAAGGCCTGATAATTATAATATATAAGCATCATGTTGGCAAGCCATACTTTAATAATAATTAAATTCTATATATATTAAGAGACACTTTACAGAGCTACAAATAGGCTCCTGTCTCTTTTTAGCATGTCTTACATTCAGGCCGGTCTCATTTAGTCCACTTTACATCATAATTTGACTTTATGAACAAAGTAATATACTTAGTTAGTAACCTAGTATCCCTGATAAAAAGAGGTCAGAGACTTCCAAATCTGGTTAAATGAAAGACTTCCAATATAGGGCCCGTTAAAGTCAGACCGACTCATTGAGTCAATTACCCAATGATAAGAAAAGCACTATCCGAGGCTAGAGGCAGGACTAATATAGGTCCTAAAAAGCCAGTAACAAGACCATGCAAACCGCCCACTTGTCTACTTGTTCACTTGTCCATTTGTCCATTTGTCCATTTGGCTAGGTGTTATGTCCACTTTTCCTCCGTTGGGCTATTATAATCATGCTTATTAGCACGGAATACTGTGGATTCCTAGGCTTTTGGTCTGCTATCAAAAATATAATGTTAGCTTAAATTTGAATTTTGTCTTTACTGATAAAAGACTTGCTGATAGATAACATGACCGCGCAAGCACTGTCTAGTAATCGCAATGATTTTCCATGACTGGATAATTAAAATTATTAAGCAAAATAATTTCCATCTATAATAACAGCGATTTTTCACTCGCCAATGCTTGTATTTGGGGCCATTAGTTGACACGACTCGAAATATGCTCTAGTTATTTATATATTCTATAGCTGTGTATACATGGTTTTAGGATATAGATTGTTGGCCTCACTGGTCTCGTACTCTTTTCTGCAATGAGTTAATCAATCATTAGTGTCCTGTACGGGCTAGTCCTGTATCTGAACTACGTCACATGGTACAAAGTAAATCTTTAAGTAGGGAACTATAAAAAAGGTAAGAAGCATATTTATTGGGAGTACTGTAGTTACTGAATAATAACTTGTACCATCACCTAAGTAAAGTAAACCAGCGATATAAGGAATTAACTCAGACCACCTTAAAAATAGCTTATGGTGGAGAATTCCTAATATTACATTATACAGGAAATGGCCTTAACTCTACCAGTTGACTCTATGTATTAACAGTTGGCCAAAATTATGTGTTTCAATCTAATTTTCCAATACCATACAATACTATGGCTGTATTTAAGATCTTTGATTAGTTATTTTCTTTATATAACTAGTTATGCAAACCCACATTTTCTTGATAGAAGCAGTTTTGTATGGGGAGAGACTCAAGTCTTGGCAATTTCTTAGTATTGGCATGAAAAGCAATCTGGTATATAAAACCAATTTAGACCGATGATTGAGTTGCTCCAAGCGGAGGATTCCCTATATCAGTGGTTGCTTATATTGGAGTTTTACTGTTATAGTTTTTAAAAACAGTCCCTGAGATGACGTTATTGATGACAAAGCTGCAGCCCAAGGAGCCCTGAAGTGGGGCAGAAATGTGAGGGGCAAATCTGTTGTCTAACTATCATAAGTACAATAATATTTATTTTGTATATTTTATAAGATTACAATTAAAGAGCATCTTTAATAAATAAGTATAAGTAAACATATTATTTCTACTATCAGTATTAACTAAATATAAATATTCAAACAGAAAAACTACTACTTGTCATCGCCCCTGCTTTCTCTTACCGATGATTGCTTAATTCTCTTTACTAGAATGTTAAGCCCGTTGAATTAAAAGATGGATTTGGAAGACTTTATAATTGAAAACTTTGATAAACAAGTACTCATTGTATTAGTGGAGAAAGAGACCAGCAAACCAGTTATTTTTAATAAACAGAAAGCTATTATTATGGATCTTGAGAGTGTTTCATGGCCACACGTTTCTGTTTTTCTAATAAGTAAGAAAGAGAGAGATAGCAGGATCTAAATATATAAATAATCAGAGAAATATGTATTAATAATGATAACAGGGTCTTAATTTACAAAAAAATACTCTATCGCGTGACTGAAGAAAGAACAAAATTTTTGATTTTATGGTAATCTAACGGTGTGGTTCTTCACCCCAGTAAAGCCCGGCCCTTAGTAAGGCTATAGTGTAGTAACTGTTCGCTGAAGGCCAGGGGAATATCAATTTTTAGAGTGATCTTTATACTGGGGCCACTATACTAGAAACAGCTCAGCTTTATGTTGGAGATACTGGATGTTTGACTAATTATGGAAGCTAAGTTGTGAATATTACAGTCTGCTTATTGATTAAGTATATGCTTGTCAGAAGCTGGCTTGTTATCCTTGAGGATGTGTAGAAATTTGTTTCAGTCAAGTAAAACAGTAGACTGAATCGGCTGGTTTGAAAAAGGTTTCATATTATGTTCTTCTATATATTATTAGCTCTATCCTATGTTTATTATTTTTTAACTTACCAAGGCCTGGGCTTGATTACAAATTGGAATTGCACCCGATTAGGTGCTGATGGTGTGGGAAAGGCTCGATAATGAGTGGGCGATATTTTATTTTGTATTGTCGATAAAAGGCTAGCACAATGTTGCTCAGACTTTGAGGTTTTTCTTTGCCAGCCCACCACTGCCCGACTTCTTCAAGCCACTCAAGTTTGGAGTGGCTTAGTCTGGTCCTTGGGATCTTGAGCAAAGATAAGATAAAAAGATCAGACGGAAACTTTTATTCCATCTCCTGAAGGTTTGCTTTTACTGCTGTGTTCTGTTATCTAGAAGTATAAGGTTTCTGGAATGTCACAGAGTCATCTTCTCTCAAAATCATAAAATTCCGGCTAAAATAAAGAACCTGAGCCTTAGATGGTTTATGTCCGTGATTAACTACATATTGATTTCGCTCTGACTCTAGGAAATTAGTAAATAAAGTATAAGTTAATGTATTGAAATTGATAAAAGACATTGCTGACAGGAACAGGCTTGATGGCTTATTTAGTCGAGTGGCCAAGTGGACAAGTGGTCGGGTGGACAAAGGACGAGCGGTGAGACGGACAAGCTTGACATTGATTGATTAGTCAACATTAGTTGGCATGTAGGTTAGGTAATCTAGTCACGAGACCATGCCTAACTAGTATTACCGCTTCAACATCCAATGCCGAGCACAACTCGGAATTAGAGGCCCAGCCGCATTTGGCACACTGATAAAAACCTTCCGCTGCCGGCTTGCGTGTGTTAATATAGCTGTCTTCCCACCACTGGCGTAGCAAGAAAGTATATTGGTAAAATCATCAGATATGAGAATATAGATAAATTGAAGAGGCCAGGATATTCGTTGATTTTACTATTATGGTTAGTTAATAAAAAGATTGCGTAGGCAAGCGGGTGAAAGTAAGGGAGGGCATAATTTAGCATTTCTATCCAAACAAGCTCTCTTGTGTGACAGTGTTAACACAGGTTATAGCACTAATGCATGGAGATTTATGATGGCACATGGCTCAGCGGCAAATGAGTGGCTAGTAGAACGGTCTCGTAGCGACAATACAGACTTTCCAGAAATTGGCTTTACCATCTATTCTCTTTCAATCTTTCCCAGACCTTTTGTGCCGAAACACAAATGCCCCACAGTTGCGGGGCACTGCGGCCTATTCAAAACTTGAGTGGATAGCTCTGTTCGGTGTCTAACCATAGGAGGGATAGTGTCCGTCAGCATGAGGGTTCGGGAAAGAAGAAAAGAGAATAGGTGGTAAAGCCAATTTCTGGAAATTCTGTAGAAGAACAATCTCGACGAAACCTACAACATTTAGATATCTCAGAGCGACCGCCATAACGACCATTGTAGGGAAGGCACCGGTTTTCTGCTAGAACCATAATACAAGAAAGCGGACGGATCTCTCAGATCGGATCAGGCAGTA